CAGCTCGCATCTGCAATGCTTAGGAGTCCTCAGTATGAGTCTGCCATGCTCTTCCTGGCCCTCAGCTCATATCTGGCATACTCCAGGGTTTGTTGGTCACCGCACGGAGCAATGAAACCTCAACCCTACCCACATAACATGTCGACATATAATACTAACTATGCATATAGATAATCAGGCCATACCACAGGTAGTCCTACAGATCTACCAAACTATTACAACAATTAGCATGCATAACCACTCTCAGACTATCATAACAACTAGCATGCAATACTAACTCCTACTCGACATATCAACAACTACTAGGATATCAAATCCAATGGGCCGGCCTTGGTGCCTTAGACTCCTTAGTATAATGAGGATAACTCACCTCTTGCTGTCGACTGAACTGAAAGATCAACTCCTGCCACACGGCTCCAAACACCAACACCAATAACCATCAATGTTCCACTTCCATAAATTGCCAATTTACTAAAATACCCCCAAAAGTCAAACTGGTCAACCCTTGGTCAAAGTCATAGTCAACGGTCAAGGTCAACAGTCCATGTTGACCAGACTCGTCGAGTACAGCTAGCAACTCGTCGAGTTCCTTAAGAACTCTGAAATCACCAAAACCCTAATTGACTCGTTGAGTCTCCAACCAACTCGTCGAGTCCATGCGTGTCCAGATGTCGGGGAAAACCCTAACTGACTCATCAAGTCCTCTTACTAACTCGTCGAGTTCATGCAAAAACTAAACAACGGGAAAACCCTTCCCAACTCGTCGAGTTGGCTTATCCAACTCATCGAGTTCATGCAGTCCATTCCTTGTCCAGATGATTTTAAGCTACTCTAAAGCTCCAATTGGTAGATCTAGACTCCTAGGGAAAAATTACCACGTAAAGTTGCAAACTTTACGTGCATGCAAGGTCTTAAGAGCCAAAACTAAGCTAAAGAAGAAGTTTAAGGCAAAGAGAAGGCCATAGCTTGACAAAGACTAGAACTTTGTGACAATAAGGGCTAAAGAAGTCTAGATCTGAAGTTACAACCTCAGATCTTGCCCCAAATCCAGAAATACGACAACAATACACTAGATAGGGTTCTAAACCCATGTATGAAGAGACCTACAGATCTACCAAACTATTACAACAATTAGCATGCATAACCACTCTCAGACTATCATAACAACTAGCATGCAATACTAACTCCTACTCGACATATCAACAACTACTAGGATATCAAATCCAATGGGCCGGCCTTGGTGCCTTAGACTCCTTAGTATAATGAGGATAACTCACCTCTTGCTGTCGACTGAACTGAAAGATCAACTCCTGCCACACGGCTCCAAACACCAACACCAATAACCATCAATGTTCCACTTCCATAAATTGCCAATTTACTAAAATACCCCCAAAAGTCAAACTGGTCAACCCTTGGTCAAAGTCATAGTCAACGGTCAAGGTCAACAGTCCATGTTGACCAGACTCGTCGAGTACAGCTAGCAACTCGTCGAGTTCCTTAAGAACTCTGAAATCACCAAAACCCTAATTGACTCGTTGAGTCTCCAACCAACTCGTCGAGTCCATGCGTGTCCAGATGTCGGGGAAAACCCTAACTGACTCATCAAGTCCTCTTACTAACTCGTCGAGTTCATGCAAAAACTAAACAACGGGAAAACCCTTCCCAACTCGTCGAGTTGGCTTATCCAACTCATCGAGTTCATGTAGTCCATTCCTTGTCCAGATGATTTTAAGCTACTCTAAAGCTCCAATTGGTAGATCTAGACTCCTAGGGAAAAATTACCACGTAAAGTTGCAAACTTTACGTGCATGCAAGGTCTTAAGAGCCAAAACTAAGCTAAAGAAGAAGTTTAAGGCAAAGAGAAGGCCATAGCTTGACAAAGACTAGAACTTTGTGACAATAAGGGCTAAAGAAGTCTAGATCTGAAGTTACAACCTCAGATCTTGCCCCAAATCCAGAAATACGACAACAATACACTAGATAGGGTTCTAAACCCATGTATGAAGAGATCTATCTAAGGAAGTACCAAGGTAGCGACTTGTTACCTTCAAAATGATGCTAAGATGGAGTAGGATTCCGATCCACAACTTCTCCTTGCTCCAAGCTCCTTGGACTTCAACTCTTCTCACCAAGATCCACCTTCCAAGCTTAGTAACACTCAAAAATGGAGAGTAAATACGATTTAGGGTTTTCTGAGCTCAAGGGGGGCTGTAAGGGAGGCTAAGGGAGGCTAATGACCCCTTTAAATTGGGTGCAAAACCCTGGAAATTTGGGTTTCATCCTCCAGCTCCAACTCGCCGAGTTGTGTCCTTCAACTCGTCGAGTTGGTCACTTAAGACACACGGCCAAATTCGTTCCTGCTCGACGAGTCAGGGCATCCAACTCGTCGAGTAGACCTTTCAAAATGAATATAAAGTTGTAAAGTGTATACCTGAGAGTCGGGGTGTTACAGAAAAGGGTCAATTCTGTTTGAATGGAAATGTGGTGATCAAAAACAAATGAAGGATATATATTATATCCCAACACTTCGTAGTAATGTTATTACCCTCGGCCAATCTACAAAAGTTGGTTGTGATATTCGGATGCGAGGTGATTTCATAACCATGCGAGATGGAGATAGGAGATTGCTTATGAAAGTCCAAGGAAGTGTAAACCGACTTTACAAATTTCAGTTAAAAGTTTGTAAACCACATTACTTTCAAACCAACACATCAATTGACAAATGAACCCGTAAAGAGATCATGACTTTCCATACAGATAGAGGTGTAGAATTCACATCGATTGATTTGAACCGTTTTAGTAACAAAGAAGGGATTTCATGTATGTTAACGGATCCTTATGCACCTCAACAAAACGGTATAGTCAAACGGAGAAATTGGAATGTACTTGAGATGGTACGGTGCCTAATGAAAGCGAAAGATATTCCAAACCATTTTTGGGGTGAAGCGGTACGACATGAAACGCTCATCATAAATCGTACACCTACTCAAGCATTTATAGGTGCTACACCATTCGAGAAATTTTATGGTCAAAAACCAAACCTTGAAGACTTGAAAGTATTTGGTTGTGTTGCATATGAAAGAGTGGTCTCAAAACATTTGAAGAAGCTTGATGATAGGTCACGACCGTTGGTATATTTTTGAAAGGAACCTAATTTGGGAGGATTTTGGTTATATGATCTGCGGGAAAATGAGGTTCTTGTAAGTGCCCATGAAATTTGTGATGAAACTAAGACATGGCAATGGAATAATGAACCCAAAAATCAAGATAAAAATGGACCCGGTACATTTACGGTCTTGTGGAGTAATGATCAAGCAACCCAAGATAATGGTGTTTTGAGCCCAACTGCAACCGAAACCGAAAACCTCACGGATCTGGCCCAAACTGACCAAACCTATGACACTTCTCACGATGATAGCAGCCCATCGCAACCCGTTAATGATCATGATAATGATACAAGTTTCGTCCCACCCCACCGGTCTACTCAAACTTCAAGTGGTGCCTAAAAGATTAAATGACTACGAGTTAGATGTGGATCATTTAATGTTGTCATTCGATGTTACGAAGGCCTTAGCTTGGATAAGGTTCGCAAAGATGAAAGCGTTGCTTGGCGTGCAAGAATTACCCTCAACTCATAAATTTAGGGGGTGATTGTTGGCGAATTTGTTGAGATAGATGTGGCCATTCTACATGTTCTGGTCCATCTTAGAGGTTATCTTGGAGTGGTGTCCAAGTCTTTGTATTTTCCTTGAGCATTAAGGAAAGTAAAAAAGGAAAGTTTAAGTCATTACAATTTAGGAATCCTAGTTATATTTTAATGTGTTTGTTTTAGTATATAATGAGATAGGGTCCATTATTCTGTAATCAGAGAGTTGAGAGATTGAAGTTTTGAGTTATTTTTCTTCAATAAAAGTTCCAGCGAGTTAAGGCTACATATTTTTCTTGTTTTTCTGCTTTACTTTAGACTACAATATCAGTTTACTTTGGAACGCATAAATGTTTAAATAAGCACTAAAAATGCTCGCAAGCAAAGAAGCGAATGGACGGATGTCTGTCAGTGCAAATCAACGGCGAACAACGGAATAGCTCAAAATGAAACAAGCTTCTTCGTAACAAACATACCAAACGGCGCAACCAAAATGGAGTTCAGAAAGTTATTTGGTAAGTATGGAAAATGACAGATATCTACTTCGGAGAACGAAGAGGAAGAAATGGGAAGAACTGTGAATTCATTCGTTTTGCTGGTGTATAAGAAGCAAAGACCTTGGAATCCAAATTAAACGGTGTTATATGCAGGACTTACAAACTAGAAGTCAACATTTCACGCCACAAAAGAAAGGTACCACCAAACAAACCCATCCATAGAACGAAAGCCCCCCCCCCCAACATCAGTCATGGTGGTGGTAGCAGATTCGTAGACATGATATATTACGTGGAAGTCACTAAAACCAACAAAACAAACCACTCGAATACTTCCCCTACTAGAAGACACCCATTGGATGCTGCTCCCATCCGCCTACTCGTCGACAAAAACATGGATCGTTGGATCAAAAAATCAACCCTCGTTGGAGAAGCAAAGTCGGTTCATCACCTGTGTCATTTACCAACATTGCTCTCTATACACGGTGAAAAACGCCTTGAAGTCAAATATGTTGGGGGACTGAAGGCACTAATCAGCTTTAACGCCTCAATAACGTCTAGCTGAGAAGTTTAAACAAGTCACCTAGATAAGAATTGTCGGACTTCCATTATTGTTTTCATGTGAATCTAAATTTTATGCTATTGTGAAAAGAGTCGGGACGATTATTGCCCCCTTCGAACACATCAACACTCGGGTGAACCTATATTTTGTGAAAATTGGTATCATCATGGAGTTCAAAACGAAAATAAATGAAGAAATCCCAATGGATGTGGAAGGTAAAATAATAAAGGCGGGATTGGTTGAGTATGAAGATGAACCTTGGTTCACGTTAAAATTTGATAAGTAGGAGCATCCCTACATGTCTGATTCGGATGCCAAATCAGATAATCAGAAAGAAGAGAATGAATCTGATGGTGTAGATAACGCCTCTGATGGGGATAAAGGTATCTATGTTACTTGGATTAATGATATTAAAGAAGGGGAAATCGTCGGCGACGATGTCAATGCTCCTATGCCGCCGATGGATGCAAAACCTGTCACACCCCGGCCGTCGGCGGAAACACCGGGCAATATAACGTCATTTCTCGTATCATAGTTATCAACTTCCTGAAAACACATGCAATTTAAAAATACGTCAACATAAAGTTGGTGAGTTCACAGGTTTTGACTCCATAAAATAATACATTTTCCATGTTCAAAAGTATAGTTTTGAAAGTATCATTTTGACTCTCCAACGTTTAGTATATATATCCTAGGTATAAAAGTTTACTTACCAAATAAGTAGTTTACCTATAAGTCTCATATACTATAAGTGTTTGTATTTCCATACAAACGAAAGTTGCTACGTATAAATCTTATTTCAATTCTATACGAGTAAAACCGCTACGTATAAATCTATTTCAATTCTATACGAGTATGTGTGTTAGGTATAATTATCTACTTAATATACAAGTAGTACCTAGGGTATAAGTAGGGGGAAACTTATACTTAACATTAATACTTGTATAACGACAAAGTATAATGCTTCTAACAATTTGCTACCATGAGTCCATAACCGCTGCTTGACAACAAAACCTCTGACAAAACAATACACTCATGATTTACCATGAGAAACAATACACTCATGATTTACCATGAGAAACAACACCGCGCGCTTCATCGACGCCGGAATAAAAATAAAAGGAACGAATCGTCACTCGCTTGTCTTGGGTTGTAATTAACAACCACGAGTGGGGTCGTCAACCCGTATCTTATTCATACACGACTTCCTCGCTCACACGGGATTAACGGTTACAGGTCAGAGGACTTCCACTAAGATCCCCAATCTTAGTTGATGAATGAGGTAGCTCATGTAGACTTTGACGGCTTCCTATAGCTCTAACAACAAAAGCATTTTCATGTCTAAAACCCTAAGTCACTAGACTATGCTTTTAAACATTACTCCTAACTTCATAACATTTAGGCAGTATAACAGCTATATCTTGGAGTAAAACCAGGTTTTATATTGACCTAAAACCAATAATAACAACATATAACGTTCCTAGTTTTATCTTGACATAAAACTATCAATAGCAATACTAAGTTTTATCTTAACATAAAACTAACAATAACAACATATAACATATCCAGTTTTATCTTGACATAAAACCAATAACAACAACATATAACATACATGGTTTTATCTTGACATAAAACCAATAATAACAACATATTTATCAATTAACATATAGAACTTCCGAATATAACTCTGGAACTATATCGCACACATAATATATATAGAATCCTAAGTATAACTCAAGATCTACATTAGTACACTACTATAACAATAACATGCTAACAACTTTACGATAGTTGTATACTTTCAAATATGAAATAACTATATCCCGGTTATTATAACTATCTACGTTGATACTAATATACTATCATATAGACATAATAATAACGTATATATAATATTTAGCATGCGTTTTCCCCCGAAAATATTAGAAAGTGGGGCCGTGAAACTCACCTTAGTAGCGTGATTATAGAATCTAAAGGGTCAGAGGCTCGTCGTTGTCAGGCTCGAGAAGGAAAAACGGCCTTCGGAAACGAGAGAGAATGAAAGGAGAAGGTGTAAGGATTGAATGAGCTTTGATCGCTATTTATAGGGTGTTCTGGGGCCATTCACGTCGTGAACATGATAGGTTCAAGTCGTGAACTTCCATGAGTCACCCCATAGCCTTAACGCGTGTTTTATAGCTCCGATTAGTGTCTGTTGACTCCTCACGTCGTGAATTTTTGATGCTCACGTCGTGAGTTCAGTCAAATTAGGGTTTCTGACAGCTGCATCTTCGGAAGGCCATAACTTTTGCATACGAACTCCGTTTTCGGCGTTCTTTATATGCACGCGTAGGTAATTCCGAGTACTACGACTTTCTTTTAGACTCCAATAGCTAATTCTAAGTCTATTTTAAATCCCTCTTGTTATAAGGCATTATAGCGTTAGAATTTATCATAACTTCTTCACGCGAAGTCAGATTTAGATGTTCTCTATATTTTTGTAATCGTATGAACGTATACTTTGAGTTGTATCATGAAAGTTCATAATTTAACATGAATTACATAGTAAGTTTATCACATTACTAGTTTAAAAAAATCACATTACATGATTGGCATAATCACATGTGATTGTTGTTGACCTAATTTTGACAGGTGTTACAAAACCCGAAGATGACACCACCGCGTTTGTTGACACCAATGAAATTAAATCTCTGGGCATGCCTACTCATCATCCGCCGAAAACTTGGGACTCCCAATTGCTGTTCAATTATTTCGACACGAGGGAAGGTAAACCTTCACTTGGAAAGCACACATAATTAATTGTTATTCGGAATATGGAAATTGATTCATATGTGGATCAAGTAATGAATTCAAATGGATGTTCGGACTCAAATCAATCAGGTCATCAACTGTTGGGCTCGTTGGAGCCCATTGACTTTCCAAATAATCTTTCCCAATCTGGGTGCTTTGGCACATTTCCTTCTAACATCGTAAACGCTCCTCCCAATTGGCCTTCTCATCATCAACATTGAAGCTCGATGTTGCAAAGTATGTGGTAGAATGTGTAACATGTGCAAGAGTTAAAGCGCAACATTAGAAACCGTATGGGAGTTTAGAACCTTTACCTGTACCCATGGGTAAATGGAAAGCATCACCATGGATTTTGTGACTAAACTACCCAGGACGAAGAACGGTCACGATATGATTTGGGTAGTCGTGGATCGGTTCACAAAGAGTGCACACTTCATAGAAGCCAATGAGAGATGGTCTATGGATAAGCTTGCAAATTCCTACGTGAAAGAGATAGTAAGACTTCACGGTGTTCCCTTAACGATTGTATCAGATTGTGACAGTCGTTTCACATCAAGATTTTGGAAGAGTCTACAAGAGGAAATGGGTACGAAGTTGTGTTTAAGTACAGCCTACCATCCGCGAACTGATAGTCAAAGTGAAAGGATAATTCAAACACTAGAACATATGTTAACAACATGTACCTTAGAATTTCAAGGTAACTGGGATGAGCATTTACCCCCTGGTAGAGTTTTCCTACAACAATAGTTAACATTCAAGCATTAAGATGGCACCTTATCAAGCCTTGTACGGACAGAAGTGTCGTACGCCATCTTGTTGGCTTGAGGCGGGAGAAAAGCAGTTTATGGGTCCCGAAATAGTCCATCATACTGCTGAAAAGCTAAAGGTGATTAGAGAAAGGATGTTAGCAGCTCAAGGTCACCAAAAGAGCTATGATGACAAGAAGCGACGACCAATGACATTCAAAGTTGGAGATTCGTTGTTGCTCAAAGTCTCACCATGGAAGGGACTTATAAGATTTGGAAAGAGAGGAAAGTTGAGTCCAAGATTTATTCGGCCATTCAAGGTTCTTCAGAGGATTGGGAACCAAGCTTACAAGATGGAATTGCCAAAAGAACTGGATGGTATTCATAACACTTTTCGTGTGTGTTATTTGAGGAAGTTTACGGGAGAAGTTCTCGATATAATGCCACTTTCGGAGTTAAGGGTTGAAGAAGATAAGAGGTTAATCGAAGAGCCAGAAGCATTTTGACCGTAAGACGAAGAAATTGCGACGCAAGATGGTTGAATTAGTTCTAGTGCGATGGACACATTCGAATGGGCCGAACCTCACCTGGGAGACAAAGAGTGACATGATGAGTCGCGATCCACATCTGTTTGCTGATGCATGATTCTGGGGAGGAATCATCCTAAGGGGGGGGGGAGAATTGTAATGCCTGTGTTTCTGGCTAAGCATTATTATGATGATGTTATAGTTAGGATCAACAGTTGTAACCTATTTGACATAATAAAGAAGAATTATGTGAATATTATATCTTTCATGATTATTATATAATAAAATAGGATAAATTAGTTGAATCGTCCGTAAATCGTAAAAATAAGTGCGCTAAAACACACACACACACACACACACACACACACATATATATATATATATATATATATATATATATATATATATATATATTATTTAGAAAGTACATGTCGTCCCGATCCCGAAAATATAAACTTTGTCAAAATCTGAATCTGTATGAATTAGATATGATTTTTATAAGATATAAAAGTCGGCCACACACAATGAATGTGTAACGTAAAAAGCTACGAAGATAACGGTTGAGTTTTAACTAATGCCACCAAAAAGAAAATCGTAGTACTCTTTAAAATAAGAATTTTGAGAAAAAAGAATGACAAAAAATGGAGTCCATACGAGAGAGTTATGATTTTAGCAAAATCATTTAATATTATAAAAAAAATATGGACGAAAAATAAAGTCAAAACTAACCGACGGAGTCTAAACGAAAGTTGTAGATCTCGTCGATAGCTAAGCATGGATATAAAGAACGTCAAAAACGGAGTTCGTATGAACAAGTTATAATTTATAATAGCACATTTACGTATTAAAATAAAGTATAAATCATATATATGTATACATATATATACATATGTATATATAATTAGAAATGTATATACGATGCGCTCGTTATAACACTAGTGTTGAGTACTTTCGACATTAATTTAGTACAAGTATCGTTAAATCTATTTAAAATAGTATTATAAAGGGGTGTTAGTCGTTTAAATAACTATAAGGTCATTTAAGTAACTATAGAGGGTGGTTTTTCAAAATTCAATTACTATAAATAAGAGGCTCTAGGCTCTCATATTTCTTGCACCATTCTTTTGATTCAAGAGTCTTTCTCTTCTTATGCCCAAGCATTTCGGTCCCTCATGATTCGACTTCTCTTCTTTTGCCTGGCTGATCCTTACTTGATAGATCTTGAAGTAGACTTTGAGTTAATGATGAATCTAGACTAATAATTAGTTGCAATAAATAATAGACTAAGACTTAGTGATACTGATACTAGGTTTCCTCAAAGGAAAAGACAATTGTTAGAAGCGAAGCGCTGGACGAATTACTAGTCGTCACTTTAATAAGTGAGTGCATAGTTACTTTCATCTTACACATAGATATGAAGTATTTAATATAAATTACTTGCTATATGTGCCTATTATTTGTGTTCCTGATATCTATGCTAGATGAACGATTTATACATGTTTTACTCGATTTAAACAGTATATGTATTTTATACCTATAATTATGTTGGGTAAACATGGGTAGATGATATAGATGATGAAAGATGAAATAAATGATGAGAGGCCTTCATTTTAAAGCTGATTCAGTCATCCAGCGGAGTATAGATGATGACCATAAACTATTCTAGATAGTCCATTGGAACGCTGACAGGCTCGCAACCTGTAGGTGTTTGTGAACGACATTTCACGGGGTATACTCCACCCCCCTCATGGTTGCCTTACTGAAATATATTGTTGAGGAATCCCCTAAGCATTATTGTCAATTCGGAAGACAATCCTTAAATAGGTCCCTTAAATTAGATGTTTTGGGATAGAAAGTGAGGATAACGGGAACGGGTAATCGGGTTGAATGATTTGATGAAATTAAAGAACTTAATTATTATGGTTGAAAACCCTATGTGCTCACCAGGCTCCCAAGCCTGACTCACTCAGTTTCTTGTGTTAAAGGTACTGGTATAAGAGCACATGTGTGATGATCGGATGAGAGATCTATGGATTATAGTCCGTTAGAATAATAGATGTTCGTAAGGCATGTACTATTTCTGTTTATGCTTATGCACTATATTGACGATGACATCCCAACGTTTTTAATATAATTAAAATATATTTCTTCAAAAATGCTTTGATAATATTATTATCATGTTTTGAGAACAAATTCTGCAATATTATTATTCAAAAAGATACCCTGATTTTTAAATAAAGCATAAACAAATCGGTTTTTTCTGGCCGTGAAATTGGGGATGTCACAGTTAAATTACTTAAAAGAGACATACCTAAAACTTGGTGTTACACCAATCGCCAACCATTGAGATATGAACCAACCATTGATTGAAATGTTATTCATTTGTTGAGTTATAACCATTCCTGACAAACATGTGAATACACATAATAAATGTCAATAAACATAGATTGTTAGTTCATAATAATAACTATTTATCACATGCTGATTATTACATGGTATATTTACACATGAATGTATAATAATATGTGAATATTATATGATATATGTTGTTTATGCTGTATATTCATATGTGATATCACATAGTATATTCACATGTGATATCACATAGTATATTCACATGTGATATTACATGTAATATTCACATGTGAATATTACATGGTATATTCACATATGAATATTATATGGTAGATTCACATGTGAATATTAGATGATATATATTCACTTGTGAATATTACACATTATCTTGACATTTAAACATTGTATGGTATATTCATTCACTAATATTACAAATTATATTCAAATATGAATATTGTATAGTATATTCACTTGTGAATATGACACACTATATTCACATTTAAATATTAGATGATACATTTACTTGTGAATATTACATAGTATATTCACTTGTGAATATTAGATTGTATATTCACTTATGAATATTAGATGGTATATTTATATGTAAATATTACACAGTATATTCACATATGAATATTACAAGGTGTATTCACAAATAAATATAAATTTTATATGTTATTGACATATGAATAACATAAAAACTTGCATATTTGTTTTGTGTTTTAATAATCATATACTGATTCAGGTTTTGGAAACTTATTCATATGTGAATTTTACATGGTAATTTAGTTTATAAATATTGTTAAAAACTTGATACTTGGACTATTTAAAACTTATAAAATAGTAGATCGATAGAGAATTATATAATGTTTTTCAAAAAAATGATCTGATGTTTTTCTAACCTTAATTTCAAAGTTTTGTTTGATGATCAATGTTGAACGGATGGATATGAAGTGGATCTGTTATTGATTATCGATGGTGTTGATCTAATGAAGTTGAGAGTATAATTAATCGTAGATGTTGAAGATATGCTCATATTCAAGCAAAATTGAAGGTTGGGTTGAAAGAACCAAAAACAAATTTTTGTTGTCCATTGTTGAATGATATTGATAAGCGTGTGATTGATGAAGATCGATGATTGATTAACGTTGGATAATGTTGATCGAGGGTTTAGTTGAAGAAATCTGGATGATTATTGAAGGTTGGAGAAATTTGGATGATGAACGATCGATTACCTATCTGCCCTTAAAGGTTTAATTCTTATATCATATTTACAACTTTGCCAATGTGTCTTTTAAGCTTAGAGCATCTCCAACCCACTCCCATTTTCAATTATTTCCCCTATTTTTCTCCCATTCTTCCCCAACCCTTCCATATTTATTGCCCCATTTTGGGAGAAATGAGTAGTATAACACCAATAACACCATATTTGGTGTTATACTACTCAGTTCTCCCAAAATGGGGATGAACTTTGAGTTGTCGGTTTTAGTCTCTCTTTTTGTATATTTATACATTTTTAGTTTATTTTTATCTACTAATTATAATTTAAATGTAATATTTAATACTTATAATATTGTTTTATATATTAAATTCTATTAATTAATTATAAAAATAAAGTTTATTTTTTGTTTATCAAAGTCATATAAAAATTTAAATACGTATTGAAATTTTAAAACACGAAAACAATATTTTACAAAAGCTTATAATTAAATGTGTTATAAATATAATCTTATTTATTTAATATTATTGTAATAAAAAATATAGATTATATATTTGTTAAAACGAAATTAGTAGAACGGTGTGTTTGACAATCTATGTAAGTTGGAAGAATGGAATATACTATGAATATATTTTTTGGGGTAAAAATGAGATAAAAATGGAATAGGGTTGGAGATGAAATATATTTACCTCATTTTTTACTTCATTTTTGGGGAAAAATGATAGTAGGTTGGAGAGGGTCTTAGATGCTAATTAAATGATTAGCTGAAAATGATTCTCCTATTCTCAATCTTCTTTTTTCTCAATTAAAACCCCTATTTAATATATATATATAATATATATATATAATATATATATATATATATATATATATATATATATATATATCTATAGGAGTAGGATCAAATGAGAACACCTAAAAGGTTGAGAACGTGATAACAGATCTAGACCATCTAAATATTCAAATCTAAGGCTATTATCAGACGGACCATTTATGTAAATTCTGAAAATTATTGGTATTAAAGTGTACCTTTAAATGGTGAAAGGGTATAATAGTAATTGAATGTTTATTTTATTTCTATAACTTCTCACCACACTGATATCTTTCCTTTTAATTTGTCGTCTCTCTCTCTCTCTCTCTATACCTAGGGCATGCTTCGTCGCCTCCATCATCTATACACCACCAGAGCATCTAAAAATGTGAACCGATGCGAGAGTACAGCGATGAGAGAGTACAGAGCGTGAGGTCGAGAAGCGGTGATGTGGTATGTTGGCGCGGCGAACATGGCAGACCCCAGCGATGACTTTCGTTCTTCATCGTCTCGATGCAGGTATGTGAGCAAAGAGAAAAAATGCGAGACCCACTTCCTCTTCTTTTCTGATTCGAATCGCAACCCTTTTTCTTCAGAATCAAGTTTTTCTAATGTCTCGGTAGGTGCAGCAAGGGCTGCTCAAGCAGTTTTTGGCTGCTTCTCCTTCGATTCCGGTAGCATATGCGAAGGGGAGGAGAACAGTTGGCCCGATGGAGCAAGGCAAGCGGAAACAGCAGCTCCGGTGAGGGTTTTCGTCGTGGTGCTCGATAGAAGAAGAGGAAGGTGCGAGGGGACGAATAAACAGGCAGTAACAACGATCTATCAACAGAAATCGATGGGTCACGACAGGGGCAGTTCATCGGGTAACGCTTCTTTTTCTTTTACTTTTAATTTCACTGTAAATCAATGGGGCTTAATGATGGGTGTTTGTCTTTGATTTTCCAACAGAAACCGATGGGTTATATTACTAGATTTAGATTGGTGTTTTGTTTGCTGGAAGTTGATATGAAGAAGATGAAGCAATAATCCTAATGGTTGTATTTCTTGTTTGCAGGAAATCACGAGAACAAAACAAAATTTGTTCTTGACTGTAACTTGATAGGAAGGAAGAAGAAGGGTAAAAACGGGTTTGGTTTTTGTTTTGGTTGATTCATTTGAAAAGAACAAGGAAAAAGAAAACGAGGGAAATAGATGTGAATCAGTATTACGGATTGATTAATTGTTAATGATTAGAACTATGTTTTTTAGATAAAGTTTTGTAATCTTATATGAATACAATGTCAAATGTCTCATGTGTAGTTAAACATCAATGAATAGAAGTATATTATAATTACATGATTTCATATCTTAATGATTTATGTTTTGAACAGGTGTAATTTAGAGCTTGATGTTTCTAATAAGGATAACCTTAAAGCATGGAAATTGATAGCAGGATGAAGGGCGTCCCTCTTCGTTTATATATGTATGATAGCAGCAAGAAAATATGAAGAAAAAAAACAATCTTGTAGTAATTCATCTATGATTCACATTATAATCTTATATGAATATAACTACTGAAAATATTGGAATTTAGATGTTTTTTGTATTCTTGTAAATTTATTCATGTATGATTAGAGTTGTATTCATTTATGATTATAATAAAAGGCGTATTCATTTGCAACGAAATGATGAATTCTTAAACATTTTTTGATATCAATTCATGAACAAAAAAAAAAGACAAATCCAGTCATGACATTTTCAGTTATGAATATGACACTATTTGACAAAATTAAATTACAAAATTAGTTAACTGTTATATATTTTTAATCGATTGTATACTCAATAAATTAGTTTGATATTTATTCATTTATGGACAATAATCACATAAAGCAAGATAAAATCATTTTAAATTGATAACTTTTTTTCTCTTTCATTAATAATATAAAGAAAATGGAAAAAAAATTATTTTTTTGGTAACGGTCAATTAGAATCCCAAAAATTTAGGAAAATGTCATTTAATTAAAAGACAAGTTTACCTATATGCCCTTATCTATTGATTGGTTCAGAACTGTTCTCGCGTTCTCAACCTTTTAGGCGTTCTCATTTGATCCTTTCCCTATATATAATATATCTATATATATTATAATATATATATATATATATATATATATATATATATATATATATATATATCTATATATCTATATATATAGATCAATAGAAAATGCATAATTAGGGTTAATTGGTAATTACCAATCATAAAAGGACACATGTCCATTTTTTTAGAAGTTATTTAAATTACCAAAACCGTCCTTATGGTTTTATTAAAAGTATGCATTTAGTCATTCGAGTCATTAAATAACCACTTTATATCCTACACACGTCTCTTATGTGATTTATGCGACACCAATAATTTCAGAACCATCACAACCAAACGACGATGTGGAGGTTTTTCGGAATTGGATTTTTGTAAAAAAAATGGTTAATTACATTGAATGATTAGTAAGCGAGAGACCTAGATTTTGTTTTCAGAATGCTAATCTTCAAAGAAACTGATGATTCTCTTTATTTTCTGTCCCATATACCACATCGAAGGGGTAAAAGCATTCGATAAAACTTTCATAATTTTTGGGGATTGTTTATTTTAATATTATTGATATAAAAAATAAAAATTAATGACAAAAAGGTTTAAGAAAATAAATAAGGGTACAATAGTGTTTTTGTATCTCATGAGCACTGTTAGGTGCATTTCATGCACCCATTTTGTAGCTTTATTTCATAAAAGTGCATTGCAATTAGGCTTAAACTCATGCATTTTGCATTTTTTTGGGATTTTTCGTGAGGCTATTTGATTCACACACTTTTGTGATATTTCAGGGAATTTTGGAGGTAGGATCTTACTTAAGGAGGTCAATAAGTGATGTAGATGAAGTTTCGGGACTTGCGAAGCACCGAGGAGGAAGATATCAATGAATTAAAGATTTTTGCATTTTATGAGATTTACACAGCCGTGTAAATGGAAGCCTTGTGTTTAAACGGGCAGTGTAAACGAAGACTCTTAGCATTGTACTTTGAAGGCCTGACCACTTTACGCAGTGTACTCTTGTATTTACACGGGCCGTGTAAATGGTAGTGTTAATTTACACGGGCCGTGTAAACGTGGTCGTGAGTTAAAAAATAGTTTTTCTTCTTTCTAAAAAGAGGTAATCGGTTCCATTAGAAGTTAAGTCTATTTTAGGAGTTCTTGGGGTGATTTTCTGGAAGATTTGGAAGGCAATTAATACTTGGAAACACTTAGATTTCGTTTGGATTTTTAATTTGTAACTTTAACTTTAATTTCTAGATTTGTATTTTGTTCTAGTCATGTGTGGCTAGAACCCTAGTTTCTCCAACTTTATGTTTTAACTTCTTGAGTTGTGATTTCAATCATATGACTTGATGTTTGCTTTTAATTTCTATCTAGTGAATTTGACTTTGCTTTAATCAAATATTTGATTCTAATTGTGATTCTTATTGGCCATTTGAATTAGGGTTAGGTCATTCAAGTTATCTAATCACAAAATCCGTAATTGTTTTGTGAATTGGACTAAGTAACAAGCACTAAACTGATTTCCATTGAATGAATTTAGTGTAAATCTTATTCACACACTCTTACACTCCCGAGCTTGTGAGGAGTATTGGGTGTTATTGGGAACATTCACATAAAGCTTAATGCAATATTTTAATCTAATTCTAAGAGCTTGTTTAGATTAGGTTAGTAAGGTTAGGGTTAATCAAAGAGCTTGTTTTGGTTAATTAATGTGGTGAATGGGAAGTGTTAGAGATTTTTAACACTTTCAAATACCAACTTAGATATAATAGAGCAAGTATTTAGTCATCTTTGAATCGCATTGCTAAGTTGTCATACATAGAGTTGGAGTCCATATAATTTCTGAATTTAATTCACTCATTTAGTCGATTTCTGGTGTGTTTAATTATTTGTTCTAATCATTGCATTCAAAACCCCCTGTTTACTGTTGGTGACCAAAGTACCTTGCGCAAAGAGGTTTAGACTAATTGTCCCGTGTCTTTATGGATCGACCCTTCTTGTCTTGTACTACCTTTCAGTGCAATATAGTAGTGTTCTTTTGGAGTATATCGTACCCCTTTTATTTGTTCGATTTGACACGCCTAACAAATTCTTTCCGTTGTCGGGGGCACGGTGTTACTAATTATTTATGCCTAGATCTTTCCGTACAGGTACACTACTGCCAATTGATTTGGTGACAGAGAAGACTGCAAATAAGTTAAGGAAGCAAGCCAAGCTTCGTAAGAAGCAACCGGGCTCCGGGACTTCTTCATCATCTAACCCTCCAGTCATCAACATCTGGGAGGATATACCCCTCTCAAGTGTATCCGCATCCGAAACAGAAAGCCTATCAATCTCATCTCAACCAACCTCGCCCAAAAGTACCACCCCACCCTCTTCACCTACTTATAACATTCCAAATACTACACCCACAAAAACTTCACACACTACTCATACAATGGGAGACAATCATGGAGGGAATCCACCTCCAAATCCACCACCCGAGCAAACCCTTTGTCAATGGTCGAGACAAGAGGTTACTCAACAACCTCTTTGCATCACATATCCGGCAGCCACCAACTTAGAATTAAAATCCGGACTTATCCACTTACTCCCTACCTTTAGAGGCCTGGAAAACGAAGATCCTCACAAGTTTCTAACTGAATTCCATGTCGTATGTGTGGGAATGAAGCCACACAATGTTACGGATGATCAAATCAAGCTCATGGCATTCCCCTTTACGGTGCAAGATGCAGCAAAAGACTGGCTCTATGACCTCCCACCGGGGACGGTTACTACTTGGGTAGATCTTGCACGGTTGTTTTTGGATAAATACTTTCCCGAGATGAAAGCTTCAGCCCTACAGAGCGAAATCATTGGAATCAAGCAGCATAAGAGAGAGGCTTTTCACACATATTTGGAAAGATTCAAGAAACTTTGTGCCCTTTGTCCTAAACATGGAGTTACCGAGTATCAGCTCCTCCAATATTTCATTGAAGGAATGACTCCAATGGAAAGAAGGCTTCTCAATGCTTCAAGTGGCGGGTCTTTACCCGATAAGACTCCAACCGAAATCCACAACCTAATCAAGAAAATGGCTGAAGATTCTAAGCATTCAAGCCATGATGAAGAATGGTACACGGATGCCCCCCGAGGTGTAAAAGAAGTCTAAACTTCTCAAAATTGAAGCTCAATTGTCCGAGCTTACAAAAGTGGTTATGATGTTAGCTAAAGATAAAGGTGTGCAGCCCACACCCCGCCCTTGCAGTATTTTCACTCAAGTGGGGCATCCAACCGACATGTGCCCTCAACTTCAAGATGAGTTTTATGAAGAAGCAAATGCCTTGGGAGGGTATTCCGGGTCAAATTAGAGAGGATATGAGCAGCCACAGGGTGATCAGAGATGGAATAATAACCAAGGTTAGGGAAGAAATCAACATGGAGGCTATCAACCAAGTCAACCACATAAATACCAACAAAGACCACCTTTTTCACCACAAAACTTTCAGCCAAAGCAGCCACAACACCCTCCACAACAAGCGGGTTCATCAAGTATGTCCTTAGAAGACATAGTGAAGAGTTTGGCAACTAGTACACAAGCTTTCCAACAAGAAACAAAAGCAAGAATAAAGAACTTAGAACAACAAGTTTCACAACTTGCTACTTCCGTAAGCAAACTAGAATCTCAAGGAAAGCTGCCCGCCCAAACTTAAACGAACCCAAGTCACAACATGTGTGCCATCACATTGAGAGGCAGAAAGAGTTACAATGGTCCAAAAGAGTCGGTTGATCAAAAGGAAGAAGAAATAGTGGTCAAAGAGGCAACCAAAGAAGAGAAGAATGAAGATAAAACAACCGAAAAGAAGCCCCTCGTCGCTGAATCTAACGCCACACTTGCTCCATTTCCTGAAAGATTAAAGAGCACAAAGAAACAACGGGAGGAGAGTGAGATCATGCAAATGTTCAAAAAAGTTCAAATCAATATTCCACTCCTTGAGGCCATCAAGCAGGTACCTAGATATGCAAGGTTCCTTGGGGATCTTTGTGTATCTAAAAAGAAAATAAAAGGAAACCAAACTATAACAGTCGTGGGGAAAATGTATCTGCGGTTTTGCAAAAGAGGATGCCCCTAAAGTGCAAGGATCCCCGTGTCTTTACCGTGCCTTGCAAATTGGGGAATCTTTATATACCTCGAGCCATGCTCGATCTAGGTGCATCCATAAATGTCCTACCATATTCTATTTTTAAATCATTTGGTGTAGGAACATTAAGCAAAACCGGTGTGATCATCCAACTTGCCGACCTGTCAATAGTATACCCAAAAGGTGTACTAGAGGACGTGTTGGTGCAAGTCAATGAATTTGTTTTCCTGGCTAATTTTTATATTCTA